TCCCTTCTGACTTCTGCGGATTGGCGGACTCCGCAGCTAATTGCAAGATGCCGGAACATACTGCAAAAGATAGTCGGGAACAGACACAAAATAAAACATCTGGCTTCTTTTCGAAAATAATACACTACGTGTTTCAGGCGGATCGTATTTGACACCAAATTGGTGGGATAACAAGTGAAAGGATGAGCAGATGCTGGTTCTAAAAGTCTAGGAGTGGATTTCCTCCTCTGGAAGGACACAATCTACTGCTTACATGGTTATGTGTCTGTCTTTATAGAGACAACTCGTTATTGCGCAATTGCACGTGAATCTGCGGGTTCTTGTGAGTTCTCGCGATTCCCACTGTCTGTAATCCACCACAAAATTCACCTCACAAACGCATCTAGTAGGAACTGACAGACGGCAAAAATCTCTGCCATTTCGGATCCGAGCCATTCCGGATTCGGTGGAAATTGGGAGTGAGTCTGACAGCTGAGTGCATGATGTAAAAACAGTGTTTGTTTCTGAGCACAAATTAAACTGTGTGCATGTGCAATCAGGAATTCATACACATTTACATGGTGAACAAACAGAGTCACATTCAGTATTTTTAAAAAACCAACATAATTTTTTCTTAAACTTACACAGATCTGAATCATTTCATAGTCCGACAGAAGAAAATTTGTTTTCTCCAAGAGGTTTTGTTGAACATTTTATTCTTAACAGCAACAAGTTTTAACTGAACTATAAAAAGGGCACATTTTCATTGCTGATTGTGTATTTTTTAGAGGTACACTGATTCAGCTCTCTCAAACCTTGTAGTTGTTGTTGAGCTGATCTTGTTATGCATGCAATTCTGGTGCAAAATGGATGGATTCAGTTGCAAAATCTGTGATTAGACTTTACTGGGTGTTAAGTTTAGAGTTTAAAGAAAGGGTAGAAGATTTCAAACTGCATTTCATATGAGGATAATCAGGTATGCAAGGTATATAAAGAAAATGTGCAATCTGCAAGTGGTTTATATGGAAACACAATTTAAAAGACTTAAGGTGGGGTAGGCAGAATCTGAGGAAGTGCCAGTTTTTGAGAGAAATCTTGAATGTAAACACTACCCCTCCAACCAGTTTTCCCCTCAGCTCCTCTCCCCTCCCTCAGAATTAAACTCAGATATAATGCAGATAAATACTTAATATAATTACAAATGGGGCCCAGTCAACATGAAAGTGAAATGCATTGGTGCTACTGTAGATGCCAACAGACTATACCAGCAAACACAATGGCCTTCATTTATCAATCTTGGGTAGAACTGAGCGCAGATCTGAGCGCAGGATTCATAGTACAATAGGACACACGTGAGATTTATGAAAGGGTTTGAAAGGGATTATCTGACCAATCCCAGCATATGTACGATCAGGTCTTGATTAATGCGGCGGCTGAAATTGATCGTCATTAACATGTTACGCCCTTTAATATTCAGGGTTCAGAAGCCTCGACCACTGAGGTCAAACAAGAGAGAGGAGAAATATTAGAGAGATTCGAAACTTTTCTGAGCTGAAAGTGGATATCCTCGCGTCTGAGGTGGAAACTAACAAGGATTTGCTCTTTGGAAGCATCAAAACTGGTATAAAAGCAGTCCAGAAAACTCCTGTCTGGAGCAGTATTATGGTGGCGGTGAACAGCGCTGCAGCGGAATAGCGGACAGTGGCTGAAGTTTAAAGAAATCATTAGTCAATGAGTTGCTCATGATGATAAATTAATATCTCATACATGCCTCATATTTTTTTATTGCCATGACATTGCTCTTATTATTGAAAGTATGTAGTTTTAATTTGTTGCGTCTCTGTAATGTAAAGCAGACTGGAGAGTCTGACAGAGGCTGAACAAAAATAATTATTAACCTCACCAAACGGTGTGTTGCTGCCCCTGAGGCACATTTTTATGGATTTCTATTGGATTTTTATCACTGAATAAATAGCAAGAGCACTTTCTAAACGTATACTTTACATGTCAGAATCCATTGATAAGGTCCTGTCTCCTCTGTACAGCACTTTTGTGGAGTCTCTTCTCGTTATTGTTCACTGGGCATCGGGTCCTCACGTTGCACCGGCACAGCCAACAGCACTCCATTCGCCAGTGCAACATTGTGCAAAACTGTACTGGCCCAAATGATGTCCCACACCCTTTCAGGATTGTACAAAAACTTCCCCACTGCTGGCCTAAGACAGAGCTACCTGCCTTTTAGGAGTCAAACGCAGTGCTCCACAGTGGCGTGTGTGCACAATGTTAAAACGGCGCTCCTGCTTTGTGGCAGTGTTTCTGGGCAGAGTTATCAAATAGGCCTGTTCACTAAGGACGTAACAAATTTATTTTATTTTATTTAGGTCATAATCTTTAATGAAATCTGTCTGATTGTGCTTAATGACAGGTTTGAGGTTTGTTTATCAATTTTTTTGAGATAAGACATTTGCTGCGCCGCAAATCTACACTGACTCAAACTTGTGTACACGATGTCAGACCTGTAGTGAGATTTGGTCGTAGCGTACGCTCACGTGCAGATTGATAAATGCCGATCCTCGTGTCGCAACTTACGCAAGGTGTACGTAAGTTTTCTGCTGTACGCAAGCTTGATAAATGAGGGCCAATGTGTGCAGGACTTCTACAACTAGGATAAAGTGACATACTACAGGACCTGAGGTAAACAGTTTAGCGGCGCTACATGCAGCAACACTTCTGCTGAACAGGTAAACCGCTTTAACAAAGTATGCCAAGTGTCTGTAACAGAAGGTTACAGGGTCCGCAAGATCCCAAAGCCTCCCCCATCGTTTATGCTCCATTGATGTTGACCTGGCTTTTTAGCTCTTGTCCAGTCTACCTCCTTTTTAAGCGCCTGTTGTTCTGCCAGAGTCTCCGGTATTTACTTCATTTTCTTGCTTGTGTTGGCACTTGTGGCCAAAGAAGGATTTAGACTATTTTGCATAATTTCTGGTTGGTTTCTACTCTCCGATATTGTAGCACGCTAACTTTGTTTGGCCTCGTGAACGTTATTCGAGGATGTGGAGTGTGCCTCACAACACGAGAGAGCAGTGTGTTTGTGTGTGTGTGGTGTGCCTCACAACCAATCAGCCCTAAGGAGCAGGGTCCGCTTCACAACTAATCAGGTTGGGGGATGCGGAGAATGGCTTTGTTTAACGTCAAAAAGAGCGGACCGCTCAGAAAATTTAAAATGTTGATTACACAGACATAACAAAACACAGCAATATCGTGATAGTCCCACGGACATTAAAAGCTTTTTTATACACCACAAGAAAAGATGCTTCTTTAATGGAATCCTGACTACCCCACCTTTAAGTGAAAAATAAAAGTCTTTAAATCCCCTGTCATTGCTGCAAAAATAATTTAGAGTTTTCCAAACAAACTTACTGTTTGCTTTAGAAATAAAAATGACCTCAGGTTCCTCTTCTATTAATCATCCGTCTTTTCATTGTAACCCAAGATTTTAATCTGTTTACTCCAATTTCCTCTAATGTCCTGCTTGCTTGTTTCACTGCTTATCTCTGTCATTGTGTGTGTGTGTGTGTGTGTGTGTGTGTGTGTGTGTGTGTAAGCAAGCCTGCTGAACACACGCGCGCACACACACACACACACACACACACACACCAGCCGTTTCACATCAAGTCTTAAATTTTTGCTCACTGATGAACAATTACAACAGACTCTGTGACAATCACCCGTCTATTATCGTAATCAACTTCACACAAGGAGACGTTGCTCTGAAGAAGAGTAAGGAAGAGGAGAGAAAAATCCATAACCTTTGTTTCTGCTCTGAACAAACACACTTGCAGAAATGACAGAGGAGAGGCTTCCTGGAAAACAGCAAGACTGATTTAGAGCATAAAAAATACACAGAGCAAAAGTATGTTTCATATTCAGCCTTTATTCTGAGATTTATTGAGGATTAATTGTTATATTATTAGCTATGATGTACTTTGCCTCCGTTTTCTCTGTTTTCTCCATCAGGTTTGATTCTTGTGTTTCTCTGAGCCCCCTCAGAGAAATGTTGTGAAATTATTCTGCAGCTCTAGGACATACAAGCAAACAAAGAGATGAGCAGTAATACATTTTGTTGCACAAGAACAAACCTCCAGCAGCGCCAGGGGTGCACTCATTGACAAGATGCTGGAAATTCATGAAGATAAACTTTGCATAAATTAGGGGTGCCCAACATTTGTTTTTCGTGTCATTTTTTACTTTGATCCAGGACAAATCTTGTTGAGGTGTTGTCTTTTTTCTGCAGCTGTGAACAGTTTAAATGTGCAGCTATGCAGACAAACATAACACAAGACTTCTTCATAATGGTCTCTTCATAATGCTTTTCTCCATACAGCTTTGTTTAAGCAACGTGAAAAGACAGACCTGCCAGCTCTGTAGTGTTTTTATGATTTTTAAAACATGTTTATTTTGACCTTGATTTAACCAGAAGTCTCTTTATGGATAAAATAGAGACCTGGCAGAGGTATCAGCCTCACAGAGTCACAGACACTTGGAACCTCTTTAATATCTCTCAATTCAGTCAAGCTTTTATTTTGAAGTTTTATCAGTTTCATATTGTTTTTTCTTCTCCTGTTCATTTGATCTTCTTGTACTTTTTAAGGTTTTTATTTTCTCATTCTGACAATTTCATGTTGGTGTTGTAGCCGCCTTTTGTGTCTGCAAAAATAGTTCCTTTTACCACCAATTTCTGTCACCATTTTCATTTGGTTTTGAAAAGCACTTTGGGTGCCATGCATGTAAGAAAGATGAGAATTGCAAAAAGTTATTATTGTGAAATGTTTTATTTTGAGAGCACCCCCTCACTCAGAAGAGTGTCTGACTGACTGTTTTGGTGTTTGTCTGCAGAGGATAAGTGCAAAAAGGCATCTGTTCAAACAAGTCTTTTCTTTTTTTTTTCTTCTTCTGGGATTTTAGGAGACTGAAGATTGACAGATGAATGTTGAAGGGTGTTTGAGTAAATGTTGATGTGACTTGACATTGTCATCGAAGGCAGGGGTTGGTCGGATCGCTTGCAGCTGTTTTTGTAAACAGCTGTTTTGTTTCTTGTTTGAATTGTTTACCTCTGTTTCTTTTTGCAGTTTACAACTCTGCTGTCATTGTTGAGTTGGTTTGTATTTGTGTGGGTCGAACTGGCATCCATGAAAACCCTGATTTCAGCAGGATTCAGCCCCTGCTTAAAACACAGTGTTTTGTTTGCTTTTTGTTACCAAACTTGAGCTTGCAGACCCTCAAACTGTAGTAAGTGGACCACCCTTGGACAGCTCTCTGTTTAACTCGTTGAGGTAACATAAAAATGATCGGGACCACGTTGGAAGAACTGCACTTTTATTTAACCAGCACTCCTCGCAGAAGAAAAGCATAAAATACAACACTCGTCGCTGCAGAGTCACACACAGCTCCCTGCATCCAAACGCCGAACACCAAATACACAGTTTCCCAGAATGCCCTGCTGATATAGCTGTGTAAACTCTAGCTCCTCCCACATAATAAAGTCACAGTCACAGGCTGAGCCTGTAACATTTTCCTTTGATATAAATAGGGGTCGACTGATAATTTAGGGATTACACTGATACTGATTGCATCTGAACCGCTAAGTCCATTGACAGAAGAAACCTGAAACTTTTCATCCAGGTTTAGAATTGAGAACAGTGGTGGCCGGCCCATAGCCAGCAGACCAAGGAGAAAAATAAATCCTACAACCAGAGTTTGTGTAGGAGTTGGTTCGAGTGCAAGTCATGGCTGACAGGATGTGGAACAGCAAATGTGAGACACTACATAAAAGCCAGACTAAAAAGAAATCAAGCAGACAGACAATGTTCATGCCACAATGTCAGAAATCAATTACTTTTTACACATTTAAACCGGGACAGCATGTACACATTTCAACCTTTTAAGCCGGGAGCGCGACTGTGCATTTCTACTTGGAAAGCCAAGTGCATGTAGGTATTTTAACCCTTCAAGTCGGGAGAAGCGTGAACGCATTTTAACCTTCCTAGCTGGCGGCGCCGCTGAGCATTTCTACCCTTTAAGTCAGGGGTGTCAAAGTCAAATGGACGGAGGGCCAAATAAAAAATTTAGCTACAAGCCGAGGGCCGGACTGATCGAATGTTCATTGAAAATTTTTTAAATGAGGCATATAGTCTAGTGAACCTAATTGAACCTACTGAAAACCTAACAAATATATTCCAATATGATCAGATAAACAAAGCAATATTTTCTTATGGCTCTGTCAGTAATCTTTAATTTTCAACAGACACAAAAGACAAATTTCCTTTATATAAAAATCCCCATAACATGAACATTAAATGAAAGAAACCGGTATTATTCAAGGCACCATCAGTAGCCTATATTTTCTATTTTAGCAAAAGTGGGCTAAATTTACTTCAAAGAAAAAAATAATAATAGCAATTTTCTATCATCCACTGTTCCATGTCCATATTCTTGTTTTTGTCCGCGTGTTTCGTTTCATAATGTCGTCTCAGATTATACTCTTTCAGTACCGCCACACTTTCTCCACACAGAAGACACACAGGTTTTCCAGCTACCTCCGTGAACATATACTCCAACTCCCACCTTATTTGAAACCCCCGGTTCTCAGTGTCCACCTTCCGTTTTGCCATTTTTGATGGGTATCTGAAAGTCAATTTTACTGTTGTGCTGACGACTGCTGTGCTAATAAATATTGAAATGAAGCAGCCTACTGCTCGGTGCGTCACCGTTGCATTGTGGGAAATGTAGTATTGGTGCGTGTAAAAGATCTGCGGGCTGCCGGCTTGCTGCGGTCTGCGGGCCGGTTCTAATAATAAATCAAGATCATCCCAGGGGCCGTAAAAAACCTTCTCGCGGGCCGGATGTGGCCCGCGGGCCTTGACTCTGACATATGTGCTTTAAGTCATTTACATCATTTTGTGGCATTCTGTCATTTTTAAATCATTTGTGGAGTCGTGGCAAATCAAATCATCATACCCATCTGCCTCTGATTGCCGAACAAAGCGGTCGGATTCATGCTCGGATCTTGCTACTGCTTCGTGAGGAAAGTAAACAATGACGGAGGCAGAGAGTCCAGCAGTGTGAACAACCTCTTTATATGGAGTGCTTTTGCTCACACTATTGGCGATTTCTGTGAGTGTTGCATGACTTTGGGTGAGCACAAAGATGAACACACTGTCAGCCACTTAATGATTTTTTTTTTTTTTAGTTTTTAGTGTTGGTCTTGTACTGGCACTAAATTAGAGCAGCTGTATACACTTTCAACACTTATTTTTTATTTTTACATTTGTATTGAACGGACACTTTTGTCATGACTGCCACTTGTTTTACAGAAAGCAAACAGTTTGTTATTTTCCAGTGCAGAGTCTTTACTTTTATTTATACAGCCGCTTTTTTCATTTGAGTTGATAAAGTTTCAGAAAAATAAAAGCTAGTTATCTTCAAAGCAACATGTGTAAGCTCTCAAAAAATTTTGAATTTTGTTTCTATCCGCTACAGAGGCTGAGACATCAGCTTTTTGTAAACCTCAACACTTAAGAAAACCTCAGGATCTTGGAGGACTTCTCAAAGATTGAATGTTTCCTCAATTATTTTCTCAGAATGCACCAAAATGCTTAATTTACATGTGAGAGACAAAAAAATTTTTTTTTTAAAAAATCTCCCCGGCAGACCACCCCACAGGGCTCTGGTCTCCAAACTTTCCGCCCCACCTACTATTTTTTTAAAACTGAAACATTCAACAAACACCATGTGGGTGTTGCTTTTTACACAGCTCTGGTTTCAAAAAAATTATCCAGAGGTGTGCTTTTGCAGAAAATGTGTGAAGCAAGTCATTAGCACCCACACTAGTTCCCACTATATGTTCCATTATATTCCATGATTCAAATTTTGCTTTTTGCATTTCTTACTCCATGGACACTAGTTGGTTAAAAAAAAAAAAAAAAAAAAAAAAAAGAAGATAATCAAAGACTTCCTTGTCCACAGGGGGTACCAAAGTTGACACAATCCAAACATTCCTAAAAAAGGCTTCAAAAGAAATGGGGTAAAATACTAGTGGTTTTAAAATGTGACTTTCAGACTGCAGACCCTAAAAGAGTTCCCCACACCTTTCCCAGTTTCAAGGTGGCGTATCCTGCATCATTGTCCCAATAAGTATGAAGTTTGAGCTGACAAAAGGTGGGAGGAAACACATTGGGGGATTACAACAATACCCATGTATCTAATGTTTCTCAACTTTACTAAGTTTTAGCACAGACTGTTAAGCCCCACCCAAGGGCGGACCTATGGGTCTTAACACTGTCCTCATCTTTCAACCCATTGGATTAACAAAACATCTTCAAAAGTTTAAGATGTGATTTGTGACAAAATAACAAAGTTACAAACTAAACACGAAGAACCCACAAAACAAATGAGCGGCGGCAAGGCAGCACTTTCCCACCAAATGCCTCTCCATACTGCAGGCAGCTCTGGGGCCTCATGTATAAACGCTGGTGGCGCCAGAAAACCTTGCGTTCGCCAAGATCGGCGCACACGTCCAGATTTATCATCGCGACACAAGCGTCGGTTCCAGCGCAAATCCACGCAAAGGGAGGAGGTGGTGTAGAAGTTGGCGTTGGGCCAATACTTAAGTTGACGGCACTTTGGCGACGCTGTGTGGCGGTGTTTGGTGACTCACTATGTGACAAGCGTGCACCACATCCCCGTGGCCGAGCAGCACGTCGCCCCACATGACGAACCAGCAGCAGACGGAGGGATGCGAGCTGATCCCTGCCGGACCGCCGTCCTCGCGCGGGAGAATCTCATCGCCACAATGTGAATGGGTAAGAAGTGAATACACAGTTCAATGAGCCAAATGAATTTATTTTCTCCACCAGACGCTCGAGGACATTTACGAGCCGGTCCAGCCGCTGGTCCAGCGGAAGTGCCGCGGCTGGTGGATGCTCCACCGCTTGTCGGCACGCTGGTGCTGGTGCTGGGGCCGGGGTGGCCCGAATGCCGCTGGTCCTGGCCGACGACTCTGAGCCGGCGGACGGGCTGCCGCAGGCCGGGGTTCCGCAAGCTGGCGACACGGCCGACACATTGATCTCTGTGACACAATAAAAATATTGGTTCATTTCAATTCCTGGTTCTGTGTATCTGTTGCGTTTACATCTATGGCAAAGCATGTGGACATTTGTGTGACACGCCACTTACCCTCCGGCAGGCTGTCTGAGCGGCGACAATCCCCCCCACAGAGGCGCCCCCATAACCGCCACCACCCGCTGCTCAAACGGCGTGACGGTCTCCTCCCTCGGACCCCCACCTGTCTGGCCGGTACTCCTCCGGAGGGCAGCTGTACGCCGCTTGACCTCCACCTTGAGGTCCGACCACTTTTTTTTCAATTTCCGCGGGGTTGCATGTCTCGGAACCCACCGCGTTCACCCTCTCGCAAACTGTCTCCCACTCCAAGCGTTTTCGTTTTGCACTGATGCCACTGGACAGGCTGCCAAACAATACACGCTGTCGCTCCTCCACCTCGCACGCCGTAACTTTCGTTTTTCTTGTCATTTTGTCTGTGTGCGAGGACAGGGAGACCCTATTTAAATAAATCTGCATATTTATAGGTGGGCGTAACGGGGGCGGGCCCGGTCACTCCGACATCTGCGCTCAATTCCAAGCTGATTGGGATTTATCAAGGAAACACACGTGGCTTTCGGCGCCCGCACACCTTGATACATACGAATTTTTTCAGCATGACGGACCTTGCGTGCGCTCGTTTCCGGTATGAGTCCCACGCAAGTGTTGATACATGAGGCCCCTGGGCTTTTAAACTCTCAGCAACAAGTGAGTCTGATTGGCACTCAGTGATTTCACCTGGGCAGCTATGGGGAGACAAAAATGGGAAAAACACACACAAAACACACAGCCGTAACATCCCCACCCTTAAGACAATGAATGAATAATTTGTACTGCAAAAATAACCACTACTATTGCACATCATTAATCTTATAAAAAAAAAAAAAATTATTAATTGAATTAAAGTGCATTGTGCCAACCATATTAATACAGGAATTTAACTAAATAGGTGTTACTTACCAAGGCTGTGTGTGACAAAACACAGGCCACTGCACAAGCTTAAAAACCTCACAATTCACAAAAGCTGAAGACAACCACTGCTGACAAAAGGTGCAAAATGGGTCATGAGGAACACAAAATCTTATTCAATCACTAGGGCCAAAGAAGATGCTGCACCCATCCCAAAAGTAGCCAATTAGGTGGGTGCCACTCCCACAAAGCAAAATGGCAACTACCATTAGGTCAACACACACACACGCACGCACGTGCAAAACACAAAAATTTGCCAGTACCACACTCACAGTAACAGATGTCCAACACCAAAGTGGAGTGAACAGTCACACGAAAAAAACTGCTGTCATTCACAAACATCCAACAAAAGTGACTGCCGCCACTGCAACACAAATGGACACAAGTCTTAAAAAGACATATGAGTTACTGTGATTAGGCTGGCCACAACCCAAACAAACGGAACATACAATTAGGAATATGAAACAGTAACAAAAAAGTCACCCACCAAATGTAGACTGCAAACCACTACACAAAATGGTCACATAGAAGTCACCACTACACAAATATTGCCACCTTACACCTAAGGTGCAACTCACACGTGACCCACCAAATGTGGAGAGCAGTTACCCACAACACAAGTGACTGCCCACATAAAATCCTAATTGTAATCATAGAGTGACCTAGCAAAAATGGGTAGGCTTCTAAAACACACACAAAAACAGTATTGTAGTTCAAAACAACTTTAAAAAGTAAAATGAGTCACCCCGACCCCTATCTGCTTAACAAGATGTCTTACTTACCTAACTAGTCTTCAGGGGGCTTCACGAGCTTGAGGCATCACCTAAGTGTGCCCCCTCCTCAGGATTACCTCCAAAACTAAGAAAGGCAAAGTAAAAAAAAGTGGCAAGCTCTTCCCTGCCCAGCAACTAAATGATCAGGGTGCTCAGAAATCACAAAGAAAAGCAACTACTAATGATAGTGACAGAAACAGAAGACTAACAAAGCCAAACTATGGTCACTAGTTAAGAAGCGAGAAAAACAACTTCAAAGAACCTCATGGATGTTTTATCCCAGGCGAGCCCCCATTTGTTACTCCTCCCCCGAAGGGTATATAGTATATACAGTCTATGTTAAGGACGTTAAAGTAAGTAAGTAACTAACAAAGTGAAATTAATTTAGTATAGCAACTCTCATAGTAAAGATTCACAAAGTGCTTCACAGTAAAAAAAAATCAAAATGCAATCATAAACATCAAGTAAAATCAAAGTACAATAAAAAACAATGGCATAAATAGAGCATTAGCTAAAATTGGGGGAGATAAAGGCCTGTTTAAATAAGTGAGTCTTTAAAAGATTTTATAAAGTGACAATGGAAACAGCCGAACGAATATCAGCAGGTAAATTGTTCCACAGTGTTGGAGCCACCACTTCAAAAGCACGGTCACCTCTAGTTTTTAGATGAGCTTGAGGGACAACGAGCAAGCCCTGGTCAACAGATCTGAGTGACCTACAAGGAATGTAGGGGTGAAGCAGGTTAGTGATATATTCAGGGGCCTGACCATGCAGAGCTTTGTAAACAAAAACAAGAACCTTGGGGTGATGTGGGTTGTCCGGCTGGACTTGGTCAACAGCCTTTAACGGCATTCTGGACTAATTGCAGGTGATGAAGTGAGGACTTACTGAGACAGGTGAAAAGTGAATTACAGTAGTCCAGGCGGGAAGAAATGAAAGCATGAATGATCATTTCAAGTTCAGAATATGGCACAACTGACTTAATTTTAGCAATGTTTCGTAGATGGAAGAAGAATGACCTGGCCAATATTTTTATATAGTGATCAAAGTTCATGCAGTGATCGAAAATTTTAGACTGGACAGCAGAAGACAGGGAACCAATACAACTTTGTGAGCTATGGTATCTGACCCAACAATGAGGATCTCGATCTTGTCAGCGTTTAGCTGCAGAAGGTTATGAGCCATCCAGTCCTTAATGGTGGTCACTCAAAAGAGCAACGCAATTGATTTGTCTGTGTCATTGGGCCTAAAAGACACATACAGCTGGATGTCATCAGCCTAAAAGTGATAAGAAATGCCCTTGAATTTACTGATGATATGACTTAAGGGCAGCAAATACACAGCAAATAATAAAGGGCCCAACATAGAACCCTAAGGGACACCACAGGAGAGGGCAGCTGTTTCAGATATATATATGGACCAAGTGACACAGAAAAGCTTCTGTCAGAAAGACAGGAGGAGAACCAATCCAGGGCAATCGCAGAGATAAAGTCCACCTCCAGTTGGTCAACCAGAGGGAAGGTAAAGTCAGCTTTACTGATATGGAGAATACTGCCAAACTCTGCTCCACAAATAGGTGAACTCAACAAGACTGTGTCCATGTTTTTCACAGTCTATGGTATAGACATCCAACATTGTAACACTGTAAACAGTAACTGTATTAAACTGTGGATCAGTTTAATAAGTCTCCCCTTTTACCAAGAAAAGACCAAGATTTAGAACTTTTAAGGTACTTTGTCTTGGAGGATCTCCAGTTTGTTGGATGTTTAGTTTGGAGTGACTTTATGAACTCCTCTGCCCCAGACTTCAGACTTCTCTAGAGATCTCTTTGAGAACTCTCGAAACTTGAAAACTTTTCCTCTGAGGTATTTTAACCAAGTCAGGGTGAGGGTTTCCAGACATCTTGACTCAAATTTCAGCCCTGGCCTGGACTCTTCTGACCTTACAATGTGGACTTTTATGAATCCACCTCCCCAGCTGGACTGAAGTTGTAATCACTGGTCTTGTGAATTTTTTTTTTTTTTTTGCATTAGTAGACTTTTCCATCCTCTCAGCTTTGTTTGTCTCTTTACATCATAGGTTTCTCATACTATCTGCCCACAGTATATTTTTTTCTTTAGATATTCTGTGGCTCTCAGGAAGCTGCTGCAGTCCCTCTCCTGTCCAGACTTGTTGCATTATTTAACATTTATCTCAGAGCTGTCTGACTCTCCTATAGACTGTTTGAGTCAGAGCAGTGATGTCCATCCAGCTGAATCCTTATAAAAGAGGAGATGGTCATCAAAGGGTTAAACAGCATCATTATAAAAAGACTGTGTGTCTGCTGTTTCATTAAGAAGATGATGTTTTTAAGCATCTTGTTGTGGAAAGAGTGTGTTTCTACTCTGATTATGTGAAGGCTCTGTGCTGTTTTTTTGTTTTTTTTCTTTTCTGATTGGTCATTAACCCCTGAGCCAATCAGGAGAGAAAACAGAACTTTTTAATAACCATGTTTATATGCAAAGAAAGTGTTTCCGAACTGCTCTATAGAATATATTATTACTATAAACAAAATGTTTGGGAAAAGTACAACACAGAGAATTAGACACACTAGATTAACACTCATGTATTATGAGAGTGTCCTCTGTGCTCATCATTACACTGCAGTGTAAAGATATGTCTGTCATTGCATGTCAAATTGCAACCCTGTTTTTACATAAAGCTGCACAGATGTATGGTCTTTATGAGGGTGAGACGGAGGTGTTCATGTTCTTGCTGTCTGCAAACACATGCATTTGCCTCACGCACACTGACTTTCACTGTTTGTATTTCAGTTAATAGCTCATTTAAAATGGTTTGTCCTGCTGTTTGCAACAGTAGAACATGGTTTATGTTTGGTGTCAAAGCCCTCTACCTCATCACTCTCAGCCAGTGCTGTACTCAGAGGGGAGGGCAGAAAGGACAATCACCCCCCTGGTGCCCTAATATTTAAATAAAGAAGGAGAGTACCTTTGCTGATGCCCCTGTGTTGAACATGAAACTATAAAGTGTCCTCTCAGGCCCATATGATGAATAAAAAGTGACTGAAACACACACATTGCATATATGTTTTCCAGAGTGCACAATTTAGGAATTACGAGTTCAACATTTTGTTGGGGAGGAACAGAAACAAATGTTGAATGTGAACACCAGTGATCTGATTACCTTTACCTCTTGTCTTAACATTTAAAAAACATGGGTGTAATTTTTTAACACATCTTCGTATCCAGTATTGTCCTAGAAATTATGCCCTTACAGAAATAGCCTGAGGTTTGCTATTGTTGAATTGAATTGTTCACTTTTACGACTCTCTGCAGACTTGTACTGCCTGAGCACGCCACTGCTTCCAGCAGTTTCGGTTTTGATGACAGCCTGCAGCTAGATGCTGGGAGGAGGTGGGGCTGGAAGTTTGAGCAGACAGAGGGACTAGAAACCTGTCAACTTAAAATGAACACCAACTTTGAAGAACACGCTTGTCCAGTAACTGTGAGATGTCAGTGTTATTAAATTAAATTTTGTGGTGAATTGTGCAGGTTGAGAGACTTGGGCAGGTGGATATCATTCTAGTGGGCATAACATTAGGACAGATTTTGTAAGATCTTGTAATTTTTTTTTTTTTTTCAAACAGATTTATGATTTCTTAATTATAATTTTTAATGGCTAAAAACATGGACAGGGATTTATGTCAGTTTGACAGCAGCTGAAATATCAGCAACTCTTCCATTTCCGCAACAGATATTCACAATGAAAGATGCATTTGACTTTCAAAAGTTAGGATGATTTTTTTTTTTTTTCATCTGAACACAATTTCATAGCTTCAGATATGCCAAAGGGGGCACCAACATTTACTCAAAGTTCCTCAAAGGAGCTTTAACTAAATAATGTCACATCTAGTACAAAATCCCAGTGAGAGAAGATATGAGTGTCTGTTATTAATGCACACCCAGCTGGGACAAACATGTGCTCATGTTGCAAAGAAACAAACCTTATTTTTTTAGAGTCTGTGCTGGACACATTGGGATTGTCATGTTGCTAACATTTTCTTCTTTTGCAAAGATAGTGATAGTTTTGATTGCAGTGTATTTTTGCTGCACTGACATGGAAAACGACAGTTGTCCAAAGTTGATGTCTTCGGCTCTGTCAGACATGAGTAAACGCTGGAAGTGTTTTGCTCACTTTTTATTGCACATGACATTGCTGTACTTTAACTTTGCTCATTTTTATTGCAGAATGTTGACATTGTGACTGCAAGGAAGGAGTTGATCACTCCACAATTGATATCACTGCCCAAGAAAGTATGCATGTCACTGCAGTTTGTGGTCTAATAAAGTGTTCTCTAGTGGTAAAGAGAGAACACAGACACCATGTTGATGCCATGAGTCGGCTCTCCATTTAACTTGTCACCCTTTTGTTATCCTTTCTACTAAAAAGAGTAGACTCATTTTTAATCTTATGAACAAGAGTTTACCTCCCCTGAGTGCGGGTCATACAGTAAGCGTTAAAGCTTGGAGCCCCAGGGGAGTTGAGACACTGATGCAGATGGTGTCACCAGCTTATCAGATAAATATTTGCAATCTTGACATCACAAGTGGGACAATTATGAGAAGAACTTCACTTGATTTAACCTACTTTTCTCAGATATGCATAGGCTTGTCGCGATAATCAATAAATCGCCTAATCGCTTGATAAATAAAAACGAGGTCGGTAATTTTGCCAGCCTCGATAATTAACGTACGTTTGTTTTCCTTCTCTCTCGCTATCAAACACGCTGGATGAGAGAATAGTTCTCACTCTGCGCATTTTTCTCGACACCTGGGTGCGTTGGCTCTATAGCGGAATGAACACAGTGAACACAGTGAGTGAACCCTCCTGTCAGTCATTCAGTCTCTTTGACTGGGGGGGGGACACACAGACACACACACACACACACACATAGACTTACTGACACAGTGCAGAGCAAACGCAATGAATGATGAAACGACAGCTTTGGTGTCTTAGCCCAACGCAACAGCCCCAGTGTGGGAACATTTCGGTTTATAAATAAAATGAAAGAGGTGAGCCCAGGAACACGGATGATATGTCGCATTTGTTCTGAAGTTTTGGTGACAAAGAAGGGGAATACGACGAACATGCATGCGCACTTCAAGCACAATCATCCGCGGGGATGATTGTGCTTGAGGTGCGCATGCATGTTCTTTGTTGATCTGTTGAGGAATAGCACCCAAAGCTAATTATTTAGTGCAATTTTTTTACAGACTCGAGACTCCACTTTATTTATTGTTTTAATAGTTAAGTGTGGAGTGAAGTTTTTGTTGCGAACCAGAGACAAGGTCTATTTTTTTATTGTTTGTAGTTGTGATTGTGGTTTTTATTTGAATGCAGTTTTTGATAAAACAGAATGTGGGTCCATTTTATTTTCATTGTTTTTTGGTTGTCTTGTTTGTTTATTATATTTGTTCATCCTAGTTCAAAGTTCTTAATCTTGAGCAATTTATTGCTTTTGACATGGTGTACTCGCATTATTATGCCATATATTGTCATCTATAACAAAAAAAAACGGTGTCAATAATATCGTTTATCGGCAATAATTTGTAGCACAATTATAGTCCAGCAAAATTTGTTATCGTGACAGGCCTAGATATGCATGATTGCAACAAGCATATTTTGAGTGTCACATCAACCATACATCCTGATATTGTGGTGCGATCTCAATAATTATCTCACCTTACCTTTATTCAGTGCATACATACTGATTCTGTTTGGCAATCAAGCAGTAAATCATATAAGAGTGAGAGGCACACGTTTTCGTTTAGGATGACTCTGAAACGTGGATGTCAGGTGATTTTTTCAGGGATTCAGGCGCAGACGATCAACTTTCTCTGTGAGTCGTCTTTGTTCACCTTTGATGGCAAATTTTAATCAGAATTTTACTGTCTCTGGGTCAACATCAGAGAAAACTACACAGATTACACTGTTCTCTAAAACTTGACAATATATCAACAGACTAAAAGCTACATTTTTAAGGAGCTGTGACTGGTTCACTGTAAAATGTAATACCACATACGTATCACTCCCCACACAGTGTTTCTTTGCTCAAAGCCTATTATGTTTATTGCATACACAGCATTAAGAGGCTTTCTGAATATTTTTTCTATATTTCAGAGGATCAGCATAGCAGTTGTGGTCCATTTTGTCTCAACAGGTATGTTTAACAAATGTAAGACTTGATGAATTAGTAACTTGTTCATTATTGTCTGAAATGTTCAGAATTTATGGAGCGAAGCACTTTGTGGAAATACAGAAAAAAGCTGCAAGTGAAGAAACATATCAAAGTTGACTGAAATAAAACAAAAATAGCTCCACAACATATGCTGAAAGTTTGCATATTTTGAATTGAATTGAATTGAAAGCCTTTATTGTTATTATACGTCCGTATAACAAAATTATGTTGCTGCTCCAGAGTATCAATCACACATACAATAAATAGCAAAACAGTAGAGTATAAAAAAGATAATAAAATAAGTATAATTTTAAAAAGAAAAGAAAAAAAACCAACAACATCTCTACATAGAGTATGAAAAGTGCACAGTGCAGTTCATGTATGGGAGGGTGACTGGGGAGGTAGTCATCTCTGTTTGTTTAGGTGTGTTATGGCATTGGGGAAGAAACTGTAAATCTGGTGGTTCTGGATTTGGTGGACCTGTAGCGCCTGCCAGACGGCAGCAGTTCGAACAGATGATGGCCTGGGTGTGAATTGTCCTTGTTGATGGTTTCTGCTCTGGAAAGAATGCGAGATTGTGCGATGTCTGACAGAGAGGGGAGGGGGCAACCAATGATTTTCTCTTCTGTCTTGATGATTCTCTCTAGAGCCTTCTTGTCTGCAGCAGAGCTTCCTGCGAACCACACAGA